CTGCACAAGTGTTTCATATACCGCCCAGAAGTCGGGAAAATCCTCTGCATTTCCGTAAAATTTGGGCAAGTCCACACGAGGGGGTGGAATTGAAGGGGATGCCGGCTCCTGATGGTTGGGCAAGGCGGTGGAGCTGTTAGGTTCGTCCAGGTAGTCGGTCATGTCAGTAGGGTTATCGTTATGATAGTCCCTGTTGGTCAATCCCAATCTGCGGGCGATTCGCTTTTTGTTGCTGTACGCTTCGGTAAGACGAGTGTTAAGCATGATGCTAAGTTCCATAGCATCTTTCATCGCTTCTGAAAAATTTGTCTCTGCTTCGATGCTTTCAAGCTGGTGTTGAATGTTCTTCCTATCCTCTTTGTTTTTCGTGGTATCATAATCAAGTTTAATCTTATCCACAAGCGTCTGTATATTAGACCTTGCAAGATCAATCTGCCCGATACTACCTTTGAGAAGGTCAATGGTTTGTAGTATCTCCTCGAATTGGAGCTGATCGTCTTCAGAATATTTCTGTGGTTCTGCATAAGACTTGAACCGTTCTACCAGAGTCCTTAACGTGAGGACGTTATGGAGGATAGGCTTCCCGTACAGGATCGACTCCATTTATGCGTATTTCTGCCCTCAGTGGGGTCTTATTGAATTAGAAAGCTCCGATCCACTGGTCAAGCGACCAGATTTTTCACTCTCTGAGAACTAATGTTTGGCCGATGCACCAAAACACTGTTCTCGAGGCGGTTCAGTGGAACGTTTATTGAATCACAAGGGAAAAAGCCCATCTAATCGACCACTCAAAGCCTTATATATTGCTTATTGACGAATTGATAAACATTACACAAAAGTATCCAGAAGGTATGATGGGTTACGTGGGAGCCTCCCAATACACATAACTTTAGTTTTTTCAGTAGAGAGAGGAAGTTGATTAACTTTAGACCATTGAAGCACTTTATCTATGGCCAGCTGAAGTTCGGCATCAGGACCATTGCCTTGGAGCAACTTATAAATTTTAATGTCATCAGCATAAAGGTTACACGTGATGTTGAGACCCGTGAAAAGGCGTGGGAAATCAGCAGTAAATACCGGGGAAAGCACGCCCCCTTGAGGCACGCCTGATTTCACTGTGCGAATTGAAGAAAATGAGTTCCCCACCATAACTTGAAAGGTTCTATTATTTAGGAATTCAGTAATCCATCTTACAACAAGAGGGTGAAATCCGAATTGTACCATTTTTTGAAGAGCAAACCTTGTCAAATGCCTTCTGAAAATCAAAGTAAATAACGTCAGCATTCTTGCCCTCTTCATAGGCTTTAGTCCAGTCATTAAAACAATCTAGTAAAGACGTCTCAGTAGACCTCCCTTTGCTGAAACCATGTTGCGAGTTCGGAATGATGGCATATTTATCAATGTGAGAAATGAGGTACCTCTTGAGGAGTTTTTCAAAAACCCTGGCAAAAATAGAAGTAAGACTGATTGGTCTGTAGTTTCCAGGATTGGAGTACGGTTCTTTCTTTGCCAGTGGAATTACGATGGCATGTTTCCATCTAGAAGGGACTTCACTCCTCATGAGACTAAGGTTAAAAAGGAATTCAAGAGGGCCTGTGATTTCATGGATACAATTTTTGATAAACTGATAGGGGAGACCGTCTGGATTCACGCTGGCTTGGGAAGACCAATTCAACAAAGCTTCGGCAATGTCGTTTTTGTAGAACCAAGGAGCTGGGTCATTGGATACTATATTAATGTCCAATGGTAAACGATCGGAAGAGGAAGGAAGAAATGGAGAGAAATGCAGATTCAAAAACATCAGCTAATATTTTAGCTTTACTCACATCAGTTAACGCTCTATCAGAATTGTTACACAGAGTAGCTACACAAGGTTTGTCAGATAGTCTGGAATTGAGGACCGCATAAAAACCTTTCCTTTTGATAACAATTTAGCTTCAACATACGCATAATATTTACTGAGTTTTTTGGAGTATTTCCTGTCAAATAGCTTGTATCTATCCCAGTCTGGAGTCGACTGAGAAAGGACGGCAGAGTTCCACAGTTGATCCCTTATCCTTGACATGGAGGCAAGATATGACGGAAGTTTGAGTCCGCCCTGGGGTAACACTTTAAAGGGACAAAAGATATCCACGGCGTGGTGTAAGATCCCCAAGAACAATTCATACTTGCTATCTAAATCATTCACAGTATTAAACGAGCCATACCAATCGACTTTGTTCAGATACTCACGCAAGGCAGCAAAGTTGGCTTTACTGAAGTCACGAACCCGCTTCCGAACAGTGGGGCGATTGAATATTGACAGTAAAAACCTGATGACAGAATGATCACTGCCACCGATGGGAGGTCGCTTAGTTACGGAGTGCAGTAAAGTGGAGTTATTCGATAGAAGCAAGTCCAGATATGAGTCAAGCCTGGTGGGAAAGGTGACACATTGCGTAAATCCATGAGTGGCGAAATTTTCAATAAATTTGGATCCCATGACATCATTGCATTTGATTTCAGGCGACCAGATGATATTAGGAAGATTGAAGTCACCAGCTATGATACACGAGTTGTGATGTGAACTTAAATCACTGAGCGCTTTCAGAAGCTGATCACTAAAAGCTGAGGAGCAGCTAGGTGCTCGGTATAAAGCAATTACCCTAATTTCTTGACAGTAAAAATTTATGTCACAAGCGAGAATTTCATAGGAGTTTTCAACCGATTCAGAGACCACGTTAGCCGAGTGCTGAGGCTTGACTAGTATGGCAACACCCCCTCCTCTTTTGAATTTTCTGTCCGATCGGTGACATTTATAATGTGATCCCGCAATACCCAATAGAGGAGTAACATCGTGCTTAGAATTCAACCATGTCTCACATAAAATAGCCAAGTCACAGTTTTCTTTACAAAGGTAGGCTGTCAACCCGTCAGCATTTTTTGGTAGGGAACGAATGTTGGCGACAAAGCAGTTAAGTGAAACATTGAAATGCCGAGGAGCAACTACATGTTTTTCGAGAAATCAGAAATAGAAGGAGGTATAGAAGAACCATTTTCAAGGCGATCAGAACTATTGACACAATCAGCTTCAGCGTGGTCAGAATTATTGTGAGTTTGATTGAGTCTGGGGGAGCGTGACTCACGAATGCGATCTCTTTCCTCCTTAGTAAGCGAGGGGCGAATAAATATGCCTTTTTGGAAAAAGGTACGCAAGCGCGAAGCACGCTTAAGAACGACACGTTGAAATTTAGAAGAGGGGAGGACAACCTTGACTAGGCGCGCACGACTGGTCGAAGGTTTTCCCAAACGGTACACACTAACAGGAATACACTCGACATCAAGATGATCTAGAATACAGTTAACAGCATGATTATCACGATAAGCTCGATCCACAGAGGAGAAAGAAGAAAATTCGGGTATCCCGGAAATGACAACTGAACGTTTTCTTTCAACTTCATGCTCAAGATCAGCAAATTCAACATTAGTAGGAGAGGGGAATGGTGAACTATGTTGAGGACCTAGTTGGGCTCCTTTCATTTCTAAAAGACTCTTAAGTCGGGAATTTTCTGATCTAAGTTGAGTGTTCTCTTCCTTCAGTTTACCATAACACTGGCTTATTGATTCCAACTGATCGCGAGTATCTTTGAGAATTGATAAGATGACCTTAACGTAGTCGGGAACATCCGAGGCCATAAGTTTGGAAAGTTCGTCATTTTCTCCAGGCGATGTGAACTCCACATGTCTCCTCTTAGACGCTGGAAGTGAGCGAGATCGGAGCGGTGTATCCATGGCGGTCGTGATCAATAAAAGAGTGATCAATAAAGTGTCGATGAATGTAAGGAAGTATTTATTATTGATCACGGTTGACTCAGCCCACACTAGAAGACGCTTTAAAGTGAAGAAAACAAAGAAAACAGAAAATAAATCCCACAATACACCTGAACTAGTGGCTTTGTTGAACTTGATATCGATCCCCGCCACAAGGAATCTCGACTATTTGATCTCTTCGGAGAATACAAATGAATAAAAATAGCACAGAGAGTTCTTGCCAGCGATTGCTAGTATTCAGTAGAAGTAGCACGGGATGCCACACACCGGCTTGATGTGTAAGTCGACCAGGGATAGTAGTAGAATCCTGGGTAAAAGGAGAGCAGTACCCAGTCAATATCAGAGCCGCGGTCGACACGACCGCTCAGGATGGCCGCCACGGTCGTGAATGATCTGTTCTAGGGCAGATGGCATGTTTTTTCCGCGTTTTTCTTTACTATCGTGTTATTCAGCACCTTGTCGTCTGTACGCGGACCCCTATTCACTATCTGTGATAGCGAATGGTCGCGGGTTCTGCCTTTGAACAAAAATAATAATCAGCAAGGCAATCAATAGAAATATATGACGTTGAAGCAATTTCACACGTCTCACGTCTTAACAAATAAAGAAGACTGGAATGGTAAAGTAGTTTATAGGTAAGCTATCTACGAACCACCATATAAGGTCAACTGAAAGAAAACCAAACTCCTAACAACGCTGTCCTACGGGATCGACTACTGCATTACCTATGGGTCGCGGGCGTTCCAAGCTCTCTTAACCTTGATTGTAACTGTGTGCAGGGGCGACAATAAGTCATATCCCGTCAGAGGGACAAGGTTAACTGCGGATTGGTCATCATCCTCTTCCAAGTCATTCGCCATGTCGTACACTCTCTCGACGCTTAGACCACAACAATAGATGGACAGCAGCGCGGTGTGGCAGCCACATTGTATAGAGATGCGACAACGAACAACAAGCAGTCGAATCCAGGACCACCAGAGCAGCGACGGAGGTTCCATCCACCGGAAACAGTCAGGGGAACTGATGCGCGGGAGCCATCCAACAAGGGACTGACAAAGAGGCGAACTGACCGATTTTGGCCCTAAGATGCGGCCTTTCTCCGTTGTGGATTACTGTTGGTTGCCCGTGCGGTGGAAACCCCTGTGGGATCCGGCAGTGGTCGGTTTTTGTGTATAGGTCCTGTTTACGAAACCCATGTGAGCGACGCGGATAGAGGACACGGCGGCACCGCACAGCAGTCAAAACGGTATCAAAAACCGCAATTACGCAAGCCAGGAAACGTGATTTTTCAAGGAGAGGGGACTCCGGGGTGGGTGAGCTACTTATAGTCGGTGAAAAGCTGGAGTGAGCGAAGTCACAACGCCTTAGATGCCGACGAGGGAGTGCAGAGAAAAGAGAAGATCGACGCGTTCAAAGGGATTGTGTTCAAAGTTCAGGTTAGAACGGCATTGCCTGTTTAAACAGTGCCAGACTTCGGAGTTTGCATCGTGCGTCGGGCGGTCGTATGATGTGGGCAGGACTCGAGAATCGCACGAACGTCGGGAGTGGAGAGCGAGGGCGGCGAGAAGCGAAGCCGCGCGCCGCAGGAGCTAGGAGTGTCCCGTACCTACCTGAAAGACAGACCTGATAGCAACGACGGTTATCTAGGACGGAGAGGGGCCTAAATTGACTTGTGTTCCCGTAGCTTCACAAGTGTGCAGGTTAGACGATGGGAACGCGCGGCGAAGTGAGTCATTACATCAGCTTAAACAACAGGCAATAGTGAGTGCGAGTAAATTAACAAGAAAAACGGAAAGATCTATCATGCGGAGCAATAACAGAATTAGTTGTTGTTGTTGTTGTTGTTTGTATGTGTTGTATTTTGTGTTTTGTTGTTGTTGTTGTGTGTTGTTGTGTCGTCTGCGGCTGTCGTTTGGTCAGCGCGTCGTCGGTTGGCGACGAGTCACTGCTAGAAACTGCGGTGAAGTTTTGCGACGCGGCGGTTAGTGACGGTGAGATGTAATATCAAAAAAGGGTGATTGTATAGGATGGAGCTGCGCTTTGCGCTCCGCTGGACGTGAATTTGTGTAATTTTTTCCTCACCAGATGTAAAAATCCTGAGGAGGTGAAAGGGAAGGGTACGCTCGTACCTGGAGGAGCGCACGTAGGCTCGCGCTTCCTCCAGCTAACGCGCTAATTTACTTCTTGTAATGTCGGTGTGAACGTGCCGGTTGGAGGGGCAGAAGGCTGTGTGGTGCCCCTCCTTTCTGCATTTCACCTTCTTATTGTACCACTCCTCCTCGTGCTGGGCCCCCCACATGAACATTTGAGCGCATTCGCATGTAGACGAATGCACTATATCAGGGTGGGATAGACCCAGCACTCGGAGGACTAGTGCCGGCGGCCGCATAAAAAACAATGCATTGCACAAGGAGACCGTCAGATCGTAAGGAGTGACCGGTGTCCGGTTATGATCTCCTTCTTCTTGGCTTCCGTTATCGCTTCGCTGACGACCGTTGCTGTGAACTTGTCCCAGAGTCGTTCCATCGGGATTTCCAGCTCAAGTTCGGGAATTCGAAACATTTGCTTGAGTATGATTGTATAGGTTGTTATAGTGCGAGCTAAATAGTGTTTTGAAATCGGGGAATCGTGAATGTGAGGAGAAAAAGAAATCGTCAAAGTATTCTTATGGTTCTATGGTTATTTTGATTACGTGTTACAGATGTGTTATAGTAAGAATTTGAGAATGGATATGCGTGCGAATACCATAACTTTTTGCGCAACTGAGGAACGAAAAGACAAAAAGGTGATCTAAACAGAGGATAATATAAAAAAATAAGCGAGTCGCAAAAAAAGATGGAGAGTGTGGTGAAGACCTGCATTGTTCCCCACTATTGATCTGTCGCGTTTGAAACTGGGTCTATCGCGCGCACGCGCCTATCGAGTAGCAGCGCGTATTTGGTCCATGGGCGTTTTGAAGGGTTATTGGCGTTAGCCAAGGCGCCAAGAAGAACTTAATGCTCGTGGAGGACGGCGATTCGCTATCCATGGAAATCAATGAAATGCTGCGGGACTTTACCTCACGTTGATACCTCACGTTGACCTGAGGGAGGGTGCGGCCCAAAAACTAGTTTGCTAAATTTGCTGGATGGAGGTTGTAGGTGATCCAGCAGTGAAAAAAAGCAGGGAAAAATCACCCATTTCGAAACTGCATGCAGAACTGAGCTCGGATTTGCTTAAGGCATGCTGCGTGTTCGTTTGTTATCCGGACAACTTCTTTGGGCAAGGGTATTCCTGTCCGCAAGCGCAGAGAACGCAAAGTTGGGCGTTGCGGCGACCAGGGTGCAGTACTTCGTCGCGACTTATTCCATTCAAATAGTCCCGAATACGAATTCGCGAACAAATAATTCGCTTTAACTCGAGTTATTTGAGTTATTTGATGAATTCGAGTTCAAAACTATTTTTTGGGAATCTCCCGCGAAGCGGCTTTTTTCCTCAATTTTTCCTCAAGCGCCCACCGCACATACATTGCATTGCACACGTAGACCCCATTACATGCCCCTCCCCAGATAAGCTCCACTCCTTTTCGCCGCGACACAATTTACACCCTCATTGAACACATTTTACACTATATACTACATCTATAAGTGTTTTTCACATTTTCCATCTATTACACACATAGACCCTTGGATAGACTTCTACTTGCTGTGAGGGATCCCCCTAGAAGATGTAGTATTATGAATCGTGAAGTGAAGTTTTCTCGAAGTATCGTAAACAATGTTGCATTGTAATTTTGAATGCTCTGTTTCACGTTTTTTTAACATGAAGTGAGCAATCATAATGTCTGTATTGGTTGTGAGCCAGGGATGTGAATCGCGCGCGCTTTGATTCCGCCACATAGCTTACCATGTAGTGTTTCTCATTCTCTGGTTGTCTATCCTCACCCTAAATAAGGCCGTGTCTCTTGTGGAAAATTCATTTATTTGTGGTATTCTCGACTAGGCTAACTGCCCTGACTTGCTGCTATCCAGAAGCTGAATGAATAGGTGAGTCACTCCTGCTACTCTTATCTCGGAAAAAGGAGCTGACAAAGCTCCACTACCCTCAACATCTTTCTCAGGGTGATTTGATTAGGCGCCTAACTTTCCTTTCATTTGATTGATCTGTTGATTTAATTGCACATCTTTGAGCATGCCTCCCAAGCGGGAACGATCGCGTAAGGATAAAGATTCACAAATTAAGGATCACGTGGAGTGCGCCCTAAGGACGTGCATCCGTGCCATTCGACGAGGAATATTTTGACTTTAGTGTAGAGGAACTTCTCAGGGCAATTATGGCTAAGGTTCGAGATCCGGTCATTGCCAATGATGTTAGCTGTGTTATCGGTTGAATTCCTCTTTGTAATGTCGTATTGTCTTGAAGCCGAGGAACCCTCTCATAGCTTAGTCGTGAGTGGCCTAGGGGAAGCGTTATCGCACGCGCGACCGTCCGAAAAACACTTGGAGCTAGAAGGTAAAGTGTATGAGTTACTGTACACTCTTAAAGTCTAAGGGTGTTTACTGATTAGGTAAGCCTGATACTGGTTGACATAGACTCGTGAAAGTGGTACTACGCTGAGTATCTGGGAGAGTCGCGCTCATTCGAAAATGTGTATTCAAGGAAAAGCATGACACCAGAAAAAAGGAAAAAAGGACTGGGAATTTAGGCAATAGGCAAGGAAGCGAAACCACGGGAAAGATACACTGAATGTCTCCAAAGGAGAACATAATCACATTACAGACCTTCCTAGTCTACAAAAGTCGGGAAACATGTAGTGGTGCTGGGTATCTCGCAAAACCAACTTTTGAAATGCTATCTCCTCAACACCCGTAGAATTATCAAGAAATCAATCCACTTAGTTTGTATTCATTAAGCGACCCGATATACTTGTTATAAATGAAACCTGGTTGACTTCGCATATCTTGGAGTGGGAACTGATGGGTGGCTTCCTTATTTTGTGTATCGCAGGGATCGTTTCCGAAGGAAAGGAGGAGGAGTGTGCTGTTTGGTTTGTACTTGTCTGAATTGTATCAAGGGGGAGTTGAATGACCCAGATGTGCTCTGTATTCTTATGATGATGGCGTTTCTCCTCTGAGGATCATGACTGTCTCCGGATACCTCGGCACTTGAGGACTCCTCACTGATCGATCTTTTGTTGGATCGAAATATCCTTCTTGGTGACTTCAACCTTGAGATTGAATGGGACGTTATCAAACCCATGAATAACACCTCTGCGCTATTTCTTGAATTTTTCAATAACTGCAACTTCACGCAGTACGTGTCGAAACTCACACAAGGCACCAGTATCCTGGGCATCATTCTCACCAGTATCCTGGGCATCATTCTATGTTCATCGCCGGTTGTTAATAAGGTATGTACTGTCGCCGCCGTCTTCCTCTGGTTATGGAGTAATCTTTTCCGAAGTTCTAAAAACGACCACAGCACTCATATCACGCTAAGATCACCTTTACTTCTTCCAGATTTCAGCAAGGTAGATTACACCGCTTTGGAACGCTTATCTTCTAAATGTAGATTGGCTCACTGTTTTCGACAAATTTATCCCGGTAAGTGATGTTTTAAGAGATTTTGAGAGCAATTACAAAAGCTTTTTCTCAGTTCGAGGTATGGAGAAGGCTGAAGCGTCTTGAACCGTCTCTTTCTGACACATGCGATAAGTTTCCACAAATTCACAAAAAATGTGTGCGCCGTCATTGTACCGACCATTGACTCATGTCTTCAACATTTCGATGCTTCTTGGGAAGTATCAGATCTTTGGAGGGGAGCAGTAGTCACGGCTAGCCCCAAGGCTTCTAACTCAACAACAGACGACAACTCCCAATTCCAGCCAGTGACCATTACGCCGGCTCCGAGTAAGCTAATAGAGAAGATTACTGGAGACAAACTACTGGCCTGGATGGAAAGGAATGTTCGGTAATCCGAAAGAGCACCACGACTCGACTTCCTTCATGAGGCTTCTACTGCATCTAATTTACTAGATAGTCTGTTTGACTGGCAGTCTGCTCTGAATTATGGGAAATCTAACAATGTTGTTTTTATGAACTTTCTAAGGCATTTGATAAGGTATGCCATAGAAGGCCGCTGATTAGACTGCAGTATCTTAGAGTTTCTGGCCCGCTCCTCGATTGGCTGAACTTATGTGAAGGTGCATATGACCGTAGTACGTTACAGTTTTTTGATAGACATCACTGTCGAAGTGGTGTCCCTCAGAAAAGCGTTCTATCACCATTCCTCTTTCTCAGTTATACACTGGATCTATCTACGTTCCTCCGAGATAAAAATTCAAATGTATGCTCGCAGCATACTGTGTCTCCAACAAAGGTGTAGTTCAAGAAGCTATAACTTATTTGTTTTGAAGATGTCAGAATGGATGACCTTGTTGGACTCTCAGTCAACTTCAGTAAGTGCTCCTTACTGCAAGTGGGGAAGGGATTTTCCGCCAAATTGTGAAATCAGTGGTTCCATACTAGAGAGCTGCAGTAAGTTAAAAGATCTTGGAGTTTTGTTGCGAACGATTTGAAGTTCACTATGCAGATTAGTTGTGAAAAGAGCTTTCGGGCCACTAGTCGCACCTTTTCGTAACACCCAATTCAAAGAGGCCAAAACACTAGTTCGCTTATACAATGCATATTTTCTGTCTCATCCAATCTACTGCTCTCAGGTGGAACCCTAACCTAAGGAGAGATGGATCCAGCCTCGAACAGGTTCAACAAACCTTTACTAGATTGGTGTATCTCAGAGCGTTTCCGAAGCTAAACCGCGACTTACCAAGATACAAAGAACGCTTGAACTGATTAGGGTTGATGAGCCTCAGGGAGAGGAGGTTAGTCAGTGACCTCACTCTATGTTTTCGCATGCTGGAAAGGGAAGCAAGGATTAAGCCGAGTAAGTGCTGTGTTTTCAGACCCTGTTCCGGAAATGGTAAGATATTTATGGGTATTGAAAAAGATTCGAATTGGGAATCTGTCAAGTTCCGAGGTCTAAATTAGGTCTATTCAGATAGCCACACTAGTGTCCGTCTCCAGGGTTCATCGAGCATCAGTCTAGTGAGAACCCACTTGCTCTTATCACGTTCACCATTGTATGTTCATTATTCATCACCAGTCGGATCGCCCGGCTGTCGCCGGGCGCTCCTCCTTCTGTGACATGGCCCGGCTTCGCCGGGCCATGCGGATTTGCCGCGTGCTAAGTTAATCGTTGACCAACCACACTGTTCAAAGGAATCTTCTGCATCAGCCAAGAACTGAAAAGCAGCGCTTGTTCCGTCAAGGCATCCCAGAAGGAGGAAAGCAGCTTTAGCCAGCGATCCTGGTACGTTCATAACCTACACGGAAATAGTGCAGCCTGTTTGGACAGCCACTGAAGCAGCCTATAATTTATGCAAGTCTGTCTTCCTAAAGCGTCTTGCTTTGGAATGCACTACCGCATTCAGCAGTGGAACCCTTTAAATGGCCCTCACTGAAGTTGCTGATGGAAGATAATTGTGGTAAGAGTGATAAAGTCAGTTGCTGCTGTTCATAACATCTCTGTAAACAAACCACATGCATTTGGAATAGAGCTGGCTTAGCGGTCGTACACGATGTCGTTACTAATAAGCAGTGAGGAATGAGTTCTGTTGGAATCACTGAGATCGTTATACTTGAGTCATATCGATCGCATTGTTGTTGTGAGCGGTGAAGCGGATTTTCCCATGCTACCTTGTCAATTTTAGCTCCTATCACTTCCGTACCCGCCAATAACACTCCCGTCCCGTATCACTATCATATCACCCTGTATCGCCTCTCGGATCAGAGGTCCCACTGTTGCTGTAACCTGCGTTACGAATCTGATGACCCTCCCCTTCCGAGGCCGCTTACCGTATCTTATCAACTGTTATCACTTTCTGTCGCCCGCCAATAATGTTCCCGTCCCACACCCTATATCACCTCACGGATCTGAGTTCCCACTGTTGCTGTAACCTGCGCCACGAATTTGATGACCCTCCTCTTCCGAGGCCCCTTATCGGATCTTATCAACTGTTATCAGCTTCTGCCAGCCCACCCTACGGCATATCAGTACTTGAAATCATGGTCCCGCCGTTGCTGCAACTTGCCACGAATTCGGTCACCCTCCCCTTTTAAGGCCCCTTATCGAATCTTATCAAGTGTTATCACCTCCTGTCACCCATCAAAAGTGTTCCCGTCCTGCCATGTATATCACTCCTTGAAATCACGGTCCCGCAGCTGCTGCATTTTGCGCTAGATGTTGGTCACCCCCCTTCTAAGGCCCCTTATCGAATCTTATCAAGTGTCATCACCTCCTGTCACCCATCAAAAGTGTTCCCGTCCTGCCATGTATATCACTCCTTGAAATCACGGTCCCGCAGCTGCTGCAACTTGCGCTAGATGTTGGTCACCCCCTTCTAAGGCCCCTTATCGAATCTTATCAAGTGTTATCACCTCCTGTCACGCACCAAAAGTGTTCCCGTCCTGCCATGTATATCACTTCTTGAAATCACGGTCCTGCAGCTGCTGCAAATTGCGCTACGATTTCGGTCACCCTCCCCTTCTAAGGCCCCTTATCGAATCTTATCAAGTGTCATCACCTCCTGTCACCCATCAAAAGTGTTCCCGTCCTGCCATGTATATCACTCCTTGAAATCACGGTCCCACACCTGCTGCAACTTGCGCTACGAATTCAGTCACCCTCCCCTTCTACGGCCCCTTATCGTATCTTATCAAGTGTTATCACCTCCTGACACCCACCAAAAGTGTTCCCGTCCTGCCATGTATATCACTTCTTGGAACTGTCATCCTATCTTTTCTGCGACGCTCGCTATGAATTTCGTGACACACACACACACACACACACACACACACACACACAACACACAGACAATCAGCATAGCGTGAATTATTATATAGTAGGATTATTCGTTCATTATTGTCAGTCAAGTACGCTGTGAGTACGCTTTATGCAGTTACGTCCAAATGTTGAGCGAAGCTTTACATTATGCCTCTTTTTTACCTAATGCTCATTGGAGGGTGTTGTGAAGTTGCTTCTCAATGTTTGGTTTTGCGTTTCTATCTGTTGTAGTCATAATGTCATTGTACTGCTTTGCTTTGCCGTTATGGTGCCAGCTTGGGATTATAGGGACTGGATTACTCACTGCTTCTGATTTTCGTTCACCTAAGGGTTTGTGCCGGAGAGTCTGGAGCGCCTGCAAACCACATGAGGTTGTGGTCATGTTGCTTCTATCCAGCAGGTCAGTTTCACGTGGGATGTTAGTGCTGTACCCGTGTTCCGAAGTCTGATATGTTTCCCATGACTTCCTTTGGAACGAGGCTCCTTAGCCAACTCGTCTGGATTGTTGTCGCATACTTTGTTTGTTTTAGCTATGCTTCCATGCCCTTCTAATAGTTCAAACAATGATCTCCACTACTATTCAGTTTTTCTTCTCTAGCAATCAAAACCCAGCTCCCTATTAAGCCTCACTTGCATCATATTGGCTTTAACTGATGAGTATTCTGCTAGGTTTTGTTTTACTAATATCTAGTAACTTTCATTCCTCAAAGGTCTCCTAGTGAAGCGGTTGCCCGCTACTAGCTCTCTTCATCTTGAATGATGAGAGTGAGGCGGTAAGGGAGAACAACTTATATTGTTTCAGTAGCAACAGTAAGTACTCACCCAACAATTGCTTCAGGCATTGTTCATAGTCTGCGACCCTGCGGAATCACAGAAAGAAACGCTTCCGCGGAAAGATTTCGATACGTATCGACAGGCGTTCAGCGTTCCATCTTCGCAAAAATGCAGGTGCCGTCCACTCTGGCGTTTTTCTCTTGGGCGGAGTCAGCGAAATCGATACGCATCTAACCCTTTTCACCGAAAGGCCGAACGCACCGGCGATTCACCAGAGCGGTTGACGAGTCGCCGATCGATACGAATTTATTGCTTATTGTAAATTTTATTAAGTTTATTGCTGAACCTCCGATTCGTCAGGGTCGCAGACTGTTGTGGAAATGAGCATTTTGAGTCATTTTCTCCTGCTTTTTTACTACTAGATCATTTACCACCCTGCAGTTATTACTTCCCCTGCACAACTCACCATTTCTGAAATGTCCTGGAGAGCGAGAAAGGGCGTGGTAACTTGCTGGCGTTAGCTCTTTTCTCTTGTCACCTCAATCTCACCACTCGCAGTGAAGAAGTAAGCAACGGTACAACGGCACCACGAGCAAGGCAGCCTATACAAAAAAGTTGGGTTTTGTACTGAGCAACGGGCGGGGCGTTGTGTTACCCGTGAGCA